AAACAAAATATTATTCTTTTAATAAAATATTTTAATTTCTAAACAGAGTATTTGTGAATAAAGTATGAAATACCAATTTTAACAGTCTCTTTCCTTACCTGACTTTTGAAACCCTGCATACTAAGCACTAAGGATGGAGGAAAACCCGATACAGAAGAGTATTTCAATATTTTGCATGGTGATATTATATCATTACAGGGACACCAAATATCAAAATGTTATTGAATAAATTACAAAACAAATGTCTGGGAATACTCATCTCATGCACTACTGTGCAAAATTACATTAAATCAACTCAACCAAAAAAAAAAAATTCAACGCACCTATCTTGACAAAGCTATCTCCTAATAAAAAGACACTTTTGAGTTTTTATCAATAAGCACAACTAATGGGGACTCAACTGCCAGGATGTATTCTAGTTATATTCACATAGAAGAGGAAGGTTTTTCAGTATATTGTAAAATGTTAAGAATCGCAATAATATTAATTCGTGAGTGTAGTATTGTGATAATATTGTATCAAGGCAAAACTGGTACTTCCCTACTGTACTGAGCAATTCCTATTTTTAATATATTTAGTATTTTTTTCACATTTGCTTTGTTCTCAATATTATTGCCATTAACAGTAAACACCACAAGCACTGTGGGTGTAGATGAGGTAGAGATTTAGTTTTAGCCGTGGATAGTTTTCCTCTATAACTCTAGACCACGTGTCCTTACCGTAGACTTGGAGGCAGGTTCTACCTGTGAAGGCTCCTTCAGGATAAGTGTTAAACAGACAGCGATAGCAGCCTTCATCCTGCTGCGTCACATTCCTGATGACTATGGTGCAGTTCTGTAGTTCAGGATTTTTAAACTCCACTTTCTTTGTAAACTCAGAATTCACTCTCGGGCCAAAGTACTTGTTGTAGGTGGCCATATTTTTTTCTGAACTTCCTGAGATCATCTGCCATGTGACTTGAAGGACGTCTTTAGAAAGCATGAGCTCACAGTTCAAGCAGGCCTTATCTCCCACTGCTGCCAGCACAGTGTGCTGTGTTTGTATCCCAGATGTATGACCTGCACAGAGAAAATGACACGAAAAGTATGAATGGCTTGAGCAGCATATGAACCACAGGCTGACGGTTATCCCTGCTGATGCCACAGAAACATTTAAGTCACCACATGGGCCACCTTTACCCTGTCATGATCATACATGTCTTCTTCAAGGTTCTTCTGTTTCTAGCTAGAACTACAGAACAGGATTTAGCATAAATGGAGAAACTTTTTGAAGTAGCAGACAAATTCAAAATAAAGACAAATATGCTGTTCTGACTGCTCAGCACCTTAAACTTTACAAAATGGAAATTTAAAGGTTACATGTAATCTCTTAAATCAACTTAGATGTTTGTAACCAGACAGCAGGTCTGTACGTGACGTGCTGCTGAAGTTATCTAATTATGTCACATTGTGGAATATCTTTCAAAGTAAATCACATGATAATAATTTCATGATATGCAAAGGCTAAAATGGAAGTTCGGTGCAGACTAAGCTTTGTGTTTTGCACTATTGTGGTATAGTTCACAGTGACAGCCTGCAGCATCAGTGACTGTTGCTAGGTCAGGTCCTGGGCAACAACAGAGACATACGAGAGATGTGGTACCAGGCACAGTGCCCAGATTTGGATGGGCCAGAGTGTAATTTGGGCTGGATCTTTTAAATAATCTTATAAATTAACAAAACAGTGGATTGTATTGTAAAGATCTATAAAGGCTTCATCTTTATCTTCTTGTTATTATTATAATTATTGTTATTATTTCTGTTACTCTATTGATTTTCCTTTGTCTCATTTACTTTACCCGCCTCCTCTTCTTGATGTCACCCTACAGACGACCCTGCGATGCTTCCCCTGACATCACCTTGCAGTCTCCTGCCTCTTTTAGATTGCACCTTTGAATGAGATGGACTCCACCTTCCTCCACTCTTATGTTACTCCAGCTGGTAACTCTTCCCTAACACCCAGAACCTGAATGCTGTACAGAATTCTTCCTTCTTCAGCTTCTACCAATGGAGGATGTTCATTCACTCAAACACCAAGATCCGAAATATAAATAATAAATAAACTATCTTATGAATGAAAGAGAAAGAAAAGCTCTCACTCCTGTTTTGCCTCTTATTTTCTAGGTTTTTATACTTTTATTATAAGCTGTATTTGCTGCATAAAGTGACTTTATTGTCACTCTAACCTCTTTACTAGTTGGCTATTAAAAACTGAAGCAACAGCCTATTTGTGCTGTAAAAACAAAGAATAAAAAAAAAACTTTGTAAAAGCCTAAATAAAATGCAAGAATACACAAATGACCTATTAGTTAATAATACAAACGATAAATGAGCTCCTCAGATTTGAGAGGTATTCGTCAGTGTAAAATGGCTGGTAATGATTGGTCAGAATTCACCTGTGATAACTTCATAAATGCTTTTACTTTTGTAGAACAGAGAGCACATTTGAAAAACTGAAAATAAAACCAAAGAAATCACTTCTGATTGGCAGCCAGGATGGGGCTGTTGTTAGGCCCCTTAGTCCCTCCCACCTGTAGGATGGCAGAGAAGTGAGGGGATTTTCAAACAGCAAACATGCTGGTTGTTATACTTCCAGGGATAAATTTAATAAAGCTTTGTGTGCAAAGTCAGCAAATTTTTAAGTGTTTTATTATTTTTTCCATCAAATTTGACTTGATGTTATTACTTCGCATGAAATATCCCCCAGTGTGCCTGCTCACTAACAGCATTTGCTTCTAAAAGGAGTCAGCGACTTGAATTTAAGCTGATGATGTTCATAGAGTCAAATTCCATCTTATCTACTAACCACATCTGGTACTGTATAAAAAACTACCTGTCAAACCAACTTTAGCTCCTGTCTGCAGTGAAATGCACTTCACTTTATAAGCTCCCCATAGAGCAAACTGACCTCTACAAATCAACTCACATTAAAGTCATAACAAAACAGAGTATCTCGCTCACCTTTTGAAAAGATCGCCAGTAAAGAAAAGATCAGTGTGATTTCACGCGCTGCCATGTTGTCTGTATGCCGCCAAATGAAAAACAAAAATTTGAATCTCACTGTTTGATCAGTTCGTACCATCTCTGGGTGTGAAGTGGGAAACAACATAATAAAAGAT